GCATATAAGATGTAACTGATGTAGAATTAAAGGATGGTGCTATGATCCAGGCCACTCGATGAGACTTTATGTAGATATTTACTGCCAAGTTTATCTTAAATTATGTTCAGCTGACACTAACTGTGATAAATATATGCAAGTCTCTTAAGGCATTTGAGTTGCTTCTGTATGATGCTGATTACAGTAGCAATGTTATGGACCCGATGCAATACATAAAATGGATTTCAGTTGCACACACCAAAAATAAGTGCCAGACCTCATCAGAAAACAATGTTGATTTGTGGTTTTGGTTGTGGGTTTGTGGTGGGTTTTTTTGGGGTGGGGGGTGATTATGCATCTATTCTTGACATGATGCTGCTCAAATCTTTCTTAATTTAGAAGAAAGCAAGTATTGTAGGGAAGTGCTACAAATACTGAAGTAATTTGTGTCAAATGAACAGAGACTCTTCTAGAAACCAACTTTGATCATGTGCTAGGCTACATTCATTTGAGCAACATGCGTTTTAACATGGCTCAGTGGAAAGTCACAGCTAGGAGCTATGAATATAGGTCACTCAGGATAGCAGACTGTATTTTGGAAAGCATTGACTCAGAAAATGATTTGGAGTTCTGATGTATTACCAGTTGAGCATGAAATTGCAGTACAATGCAGTGGCTTATGGAATAAATGCTATCTTTGGGTAGCTTAGCAGGGTTATGTTATTACCACTATATAGTATTAGAGGGACAATTACAGGAATATTATGTTCTGTTCTGGGGACTGTTTTTAAAAACAACACTGCCAAGCTGGAGAGATAATAAGACAGCCGGAGAATGGCTATAGCTCTGGCTAGCATAACTTAAAGAACCAAGGTAAAGTGTGTGATAAGTGTTTACATTTCTATGTTGTATAAGATGTTTGAAAGAAGATTCGTTTAATTAGCAGAAAGAGATCATTAGATTCAGTAGCTGAAAACAAAATGAGGCATTTTTTTTTTTAGACAAATGTTTGTTTGTTTTACTTGGGGCATAGGATTGACTTCTGTGGGGATGTGTTGGGTTTTTCTCATGTGTTGTCTTTAAAGTCTTGGTGCTCTTTCAAATGAGGTGTCTAGCTCAGCCAGAAGTTACGGGCTTGGTGAAGTTTCATGGACTGCGTTATAGAAGAGAATGGGCTAAATAATCATAGGGATCCCTTTGAGAGAGACCTGCAGCTAGTAAGCAAGGAGGGAAGGAGAGAAAGCAGGAAAGAATTACTGTGGTGAAATGTTGAGTCAGTCCCTTGACCACAGATGGCCTGGGGACCATCCTTCCTGAGGGTTCAGGCTCAGCTAGAAAAAATGAAGAGACTGGTGCTACACTTTTGTAAGGGATGATGGAGCAACACTGGTGCAGTGGGAATAGACCAAACTCGCACACCTGGGATCTGGTGTTATCATCTCTCTTTCTTTCCGTTTTGACTCTTGAAAATTTTGTTTGCTCACATGCTTCTTACCCATTGCTCATTACCATTGCCCTCTGCTTTCCAAACACTCACCTGCTTTTCTTCCCCCTCTTCATTTTAGCTCGCTTGTGCTCCTGTCGTCACCTTTGCTTTTGTGTCACACCAGTATGTGTGCGCCAGCTCTCAGGTCATCCGTAAGGCTCTGATTCTGTTGTCTGTTCATGTTACATGAAGACCTGTGTCGTGGGCTTGCTTGGAATGTCATTTATTGGAAAAAAAGGCTTTGAATCTTTCTTTAGCAATCAGTATTCAGGAATTACGCAGTGTAGTTCAGGAATTCTATATAGAGGCAACTTTTATTTCTATAAAGTTTACCATCTCTTTTAAAGTCAATATTGTTTTTCACGAGGGTATAGCTGATAGTGGTATGCAAGGTAAAATAGTCTGAAAACCAGTGGAGGGTTATGTATGTATTGTGTGTACATGGAAGGACTTGGGGAAAAAATTGAATACAGTCCAGTGAGATAAGATTGGCTACAAATGCTACAGTAAAAGATGTGGTTAGATCAAGGCACCTCAACAGTCAATCTTAATTTTGTTTTTGAAGGCCTGCTCAGAACAGACTTCAGATAAATTACTTTCTCTCTTTGCCTTATTTTATGTAATAATTGAAATGGCACACCATATAAATATCATGACACCAAAGTTAGTATTTCTAACAAGCGTTAGTTCCAGTGACAGGCTTTACTGTGTCTTTATGCTTCACGGCATACCTTTTTGTGGCCTTCACCAAAGTCTGGTAGTTACTGGAGCTTGGTATTTGTCCTTTGAAAAGCAAACTGCCCTTCCTAATCTCTGATGGAGAAACTGGAACTCTTTAGCAAATAGGGTAAATAAAGAGTTTCTCTGCTGTTACTGATGTTTGATGCAAATTAAATTTGCTTATTTCGTGATTGTGTTTGTAAGTAAGTTTGGTTCTAAATGCCAAGGGCTCGCAGATGGGTAATTCCTACTGGCAGGCTGGATGCTGCCATTTACATTGCCCAGTTACAGTACAAGGCAAATGGGGCTTGCTGTCCTTTGGTAGTCTTGTACATACATAGCTGCCGGTCTCACTGCAGCCTGAGCTGTTCCCTGCTTTTGAGAGATCAAGATTGCTTCTCCTAAACACTCTGACAAGCCTTTTGATCAAGGCTTTCCATTTTCTTTTCAATGAAACCCTCTTGTTTGTCTTAATTTGCCAAATGTGATATACATTTCAAGAAAGCAAAATGAGCAGTGTGGTCTTTGGTTTAGAAAACTTGGAAATACTTATCTTTCATTAAAATCTGTTGACTGCTTTTGGACATGCTTGTCATCTAGGTACTTTTGTAATGTAGCCTGTTGTTTTGAAGTTGTGTGAGTAGTAATTGCCTGCTTCCTGAATCTGTTCTTCTGAAATGAACTTGGCTTTATCAATTGACTTAGTCCAAAACCTATCATGAGGAAAAACTCGAAACCTCCGTTCTCATTGTAGCTTGATGAAAACATCTTTTGGTGTTCTTCCACACACAGGTTTGTCTCTGGCCTGTGGGATTTATTCCCTGTGGTTTACACTGCTTAAGTATCTAGTCATCCTCTATAGCACAATATACCTGTCAGCAATGGGTCACTTCCTTTTTCATTGCAAAGTAAGTTAAATGAATGGGGATATTTTTTTAATTATATTAAAAAAATGAGCTAACCTGACACTGATAACATAGTTTCTAATGCTTGTGATGAATGTTGTGAGCAATTTTTTTTTTTTCTACTTAAGCATCTTTGCAACACATTTTTTCCCTGATGGGATTATTTAGAAAAAGTCTTCAGCTCACGAAATATGTAGCTTATACCTTTGAAGTGTCTGGAAAAAGTTAAATGTTAAGCTTGTATTGATCTCAAAAGGAGGAGTAGTTCTTTTGGCAAAATTGTTTTTAACTTCATTGCATATATTCTTAACCTGCTGGCTCAGGGAGTGTCTTACTCTTAAATAGGAGATAAGCAGAACTTCACATGGCTTTCATACTGGTTCCCAAATTTTGGTCAAGAAGCTTTTTTTTGTTGGTATCCTGCCATTTTGTAGTTAGATGAACTTTTCGGGGGAGAGCTCATTTGGTGGCTCTGGTCCTAAGTGTATGTCTTACTGTTACAGTTTTTCTCATGTTTTTTTTTTTTTCCAGCTGTGAAGCATTTCTCCTGTACTTTAGGTCTCAGAAACACTCCTGCAGGATGGATGGTTTACAGGAAGAACTACATGCTAGGCATGTCGATAGAGCCCACTGTACACAATGAAATTCAGTGTCAAGTGTGGGATTCCACTACTAATGCATTATAGGAGCAATGAAACTTAGAACAACAGTCTAGAAATATATCCCCCTCCAGTGCTCTTTGTAAATTGTTTCTTCAAGTTTGCTCCTCACTTACCTCCATCTCCTGCAACACCATTTAAAAAGCAATATCTAATATGTTAAATGACAGTTTGTCAGTTACTTAAGTTAACATAGCTGTTGTTATAGTTAAAAAGTTTCTGGGTAGTCTGTTTTGCATTCCT